TCCAAGGAAACTTTTGAAAACATGGTGTATAGCCACAGGTGAGAAGGAGAGATGAATTACATTTCTATTACTTAACATGATCCAAGAAAACACAGTTTTGTATTTAGGTCCCAAGTCTGGGCTGCTCCACTCTTACTATGTAAGTTTGCTGTAAATTTGGGTCAAACTACTTGAGACAGTTGCTTCAAAGACTGTGTTTGTGCAGTTGCAAATGGTTCCTCCACACTTAATCTCAGAATCCTGCTAAAAGAAAGTGGGATCTCTAGTCTTCAGCACATTAGATGTGTAAGTTATGAGTTCACAACTCTCCTGGAAACCAAGCTGCTTTTGAAAATTGAGCAGTGAGTCAAACCTGTTCCTGACCTACAACTCTGTTGCAGGATCTCTGCAGTGATGACACATGAGCAGCTGAACTGTAAGGGCTAAACATTAAAAAGTTATCTGCTCCTTTCTATACATCAATAATCTCTCTAAGACAGACCAGCTCAGCACCAGAAGCTACACTCATTGAGCTGTGCCAAGTGCTTTGAGATCTTTGGATTTATGAAGTCGTTTGTAGTATATAGTTGAAAAGCATCATTAAAATCACAACCTCTAAACACAAAATTTGTAACAACACGATGAGTAAAAATGCATGTTTTGGAGATGTTGAATTGTAATGGGTTTGATTTTGTGTCCAGTGTAGCAGGGAAGAGCAAAGGTGAAGGTTATTCATCAGTGTTCACTATGTTTTATGATCATTCAGTCCTGATCACTGGATTACATTTGAAGATTTCACCTTTAAGTGGAACCTTTTTGAGTCTCAAATGCTCTTTCATTGTCCTTCTTTCTCCCCCCTGTTGCAGAATGCTGGAATATGGGGAGTACAAAGGGTACCTGTACGGTACCAGTATTGATGCAGTGCGAGCAGTCCTCGATGAAGGGAAGATCTGTGTAATAGATTTAGAACCACAGGTGAGTGGTAGAGGGGAAGGGAATCTTCTGGAAGGAAAAATAATTTTCTCTACATTCTTGAGCTATTGGAATGCTGTCAGTTGCTTTGTCTCGTTTTTCACTTTACCTCATGGTGCTTTGACCCAAGATTATTCTTTGCATGGGTGGTGGTGGTGGTGGTACTACAGTGACAAGTATGTCGAGACAGTTCATTTATTTTCAGGTCAGCAGCTGCATGACCAGTTTGGATGGTACAGAAATGAGTTTTCATGCTTGCTTAAAGTAAGGATTATTCTTTCATGGGGAGACTGTTGCATGGGATTTCCTCCTCCTCTGAGAATTCTGTCCTTCTGTCACCAATCTCTGAATACCTTCTGGTAAAAGCAGCAACTATTAAAGTAATCAAGCAGAAGCAGGGCATTATAGTGTGCCTCTTTTTCTCTTCAGAAGTAACAGCTAAGAGTAAGCTGCTCCTTCACTTAGACGCTATTCACATTTTTTTTCCTTCTATCTTTGCATTGAATTTGCTGATGAAGATAAGGGTAATAAAAGCCTGGGCTTGCACATATCTAAGGTACTTAGAGCTGTGTCTGGCAAAATCTCACCAACCTTCTCTGGATTACTTGTGTTATTCAGTACTTAGGAGCTGTTTGGGCTATGGTGTTGCAACATCTTCTCTAACCAAACAGAAAGAGAGACACCATATCTCAGTAAACCTTGGATATTTCCCTCTAATTACACAGAGTCAGTGTGTTGGAGCCTTAGGTTAGCAGTGGTTTGTGCTGCTTAAAATAGATGTTAAGTTACATGACCTGTGGGGTACTACTCGAAAACTCAAACTGCTGTAAGAGGCAGATCAGGTCACATCTTTAGTCTTCAGATCTAAAAATCTCCTTGGGTTTCTTCTGTTACATTTTTAAGCAAAGGGGAGGAAGAGAGGTGTTGGATGGTGGAGTGTGTAATCTTGCCACTTGAACAGATGTGCCATTATCAGTTTTTTAGGGTTTGAGTTTAAAGGACAAGTGTTGGGAAGGGTATCAAGTAACAGCAGTGAGACAGGAGAACTACTGCTGAGTTGCATACTTGATTTTAAATCTGGTGGCTTGACCAGCTTTACATGCTATGATTTCTTTTTCTTTTTTTTTCTAGTTCTCTCCATTGCTCTGTAGAAATTTGAAAATGCTTATTAGCATAAGGGAATGTTACATAGAACAATAATTTCTGAAAGCAGGATACTTACTTTCAATATAGAACAATAAAGGTGTACTTGTTCTAAAGGTAGCTCCCCAACAGTTAAAAAAGCACAGGTTTCAAATGCATCTTTAATGTGTTGATTGTAGAGATCTGTTAATGACTCTGTTCTGTCATTCACTAATGTGAAAGCATCTCCTAATAAGGTTACCAAGCAGAGTTAAATGATCCTTGTGTGGTACAGTTGGTTAACAGTATCTGGTCCAGGGATTATTAGTGAGACCATTTTCAAGTAGGTGTTCTTGACAAAGATGCCTCCTAGGTCTGGAGATAACAGCATGTTGTAAACTGCTGGCTTTTTTATGGGAGTAAAAGTGGGATGAATACACTTGAAATACTTAAACTTCATTTTGCTCTTCATTTGCAGGGCATACAGTTAGCCCGGACTCATGAGTTAAAGCCCTACATTATATTCATCAAGCCACCCAGCATAAGCTGCATGAGGCAGACCCGTAAAAATGCCAGGATCATTACGGACTATTACGTGAACATGAAGTTCAAGGTGAGATTTGGGAATAAAAGAGAATTGAGTTTATTAATCTGAGATTCCGTGTTTAGAACATAATGCACACTACTGTCTTACAGTGATAACTCTTAAAAAAAGATTATTGTGGCTTTAAGATGAAATCTAATTATTCTTGTCTCATTTGGTTGGGATCTTTTTCCCCCTCCAGATTTGCTCTGAAGCATAAGGGTTGTAATTTGTAGCTAGGGGACTGAGGCATTTTTCTTCAAAATGTCTTTAAAGGAGAAGCTATTTTGCATATTTTTGTTTTAATTAACTGCCTTGTGTCAACATTTGAGTCAACATATATATTTACTGTTTGCACTGAAATAGCTGGAATGCACTTCATTCAGTAATTTAATAACCTATTTTTTCACATATTTATAAGAATGTATTATTAGTTCACATATGCTTAATAGCAGTATCAGTATCAATTCTATACTTAGTTCTATAGATAAAAAACAAATCTGGCTTGTAGGAAATGCATATCTTATATTTAGAATGTATATAGTGCTTTGTCACAGTTGTTTCCATGCAAATCATAGTCAAGTTTAGCATCTTAATGTTTTGAAGACCATAATCCATAACTGTATGGAAATGAATCATAATGGCTACAACAGAAAGAAACATAATCACCGGAGAAATAAAATAAAATCTGGATCAGAACACAAGCATTAATGGATTTACCTTCCAGTCCCTAACATTCTCTGCCAGCACTCATCATTAGAATAACCTTTTTGGGGCAAATGGAGCATACCATACACAAGGCACTTCCTTGGGAAGGGTGTGGCACTCAGCCCTGTTTTGGAGACTTGGAACTGACTGTAGCAGAGGTGCTTTACTATAGCAAACTGTAAATGAAATAAAGTAGACTGGCACTATCTATTCACCTCTTGTTTCTGTGGGCCAAGGTGCTCTGGAGATGCTGTGCAGGTACAGTTCTCTACACAAATTTTTTTAAGTTTTATAGACTTACTCTGTCTCACAGGAAGAAGATTTACAGGAGATGGAAGAATCAGCTAAGAAAATGGAAGTTCAGTTTGGTCAGTTCTTTGATCAAGTGATTGTGAATGACAATTTACAAGAAGCATCTGCACAGCTGCTGTCTGCAGTGCATCGTGCACAGGACGAGCCTCAGTGGGTCCCTGCAATATGGATATGCTCAGACACTCAGCCCTAATTCTGAGCAGCAGGCAGCTTCAGAAAGATTACAGCTTATGTTTTACTTCAAGAATAATCCTAATGTCAGGATTGCAAGAATTTATCTTTGTATGTAAGGGATTTGGAAGAGGATTAGGAAAGAAGCTGCTACAGGAGATATAATCATACTACATTCTGTGTAGCTCTTGAGCTTTTTATGTTACACTTGCATCCACTTTTGTACAAAAAAAAGGAAATATCGTGAGCACTCAATTACAAGAATAAAGAAAAATCTATTTTGTTGGATGTGTCTGTGTAATTTGCTTATACATAGGTTCAGAAAAGTCCTTTCCTTTCTTTTTATCATGGTCATTCTGGTACTGTTATACCTTTACATTCTGGAAGCCTTACTCTCACAGAAATATTCAGTCAATATTCAGTCCAGAGTGTGCTCTTTTGGCTCACCATCTGTGAGCAGAGAGTGTTATTTATGACGATTTTAGTTTGCTGCTAGTCCTTTTTACCTTTTAAGGTAGGAGTGGCGTTGGCACAATATTAATTCCTCCAGAAACCACAGTTACCTTCATAATACATGTGATATGTCTTTTGTTTCATCAACTCAAGTAAGTACAAACTGACAGAATATGGACTTAGCAAAGAGGGGAATAGTGAGAAATCCTTTCTCTTGCTGTTTTGCTCTATGGTAGCAGACTCTCCTCATCAGAGGGTGTGGTGCTTGTGACAAGTATGTTCCTCACGCTCTTCATGTCCCATGGCAGCTGTCTTGCCCTCTGAGGATCACAGATTACTATTCTGTTGGCCTACCTCATCTTGGAGGAAAATCAACAAATGTAAGTAAAGCAGTCTAGTAAGTGGTTATTTAAAGTCAAATATTACAGCTACCAGCATGCCTGCTTGTCCTAGGGCCAGGGGTTGTATTCCTTGTTTAGAGATAAAATGGGAGAGACGAGACTGAAGTCCCAATATGTCACTTATGTGGGATAAGTAGAGTGGAGGGTGAGATAAGAGCCAGCTCTGTGCTTCTGTGCCATGCTGGTCCCCACTTCTGCCTAGTCCAGCATTTGTCGATTCTTTGTCTTTTTCCCATGTGTTATTTTCTACTTTTGTGGTTTCCCCCCCCCCCCCCCCCGCTTACAGTGCAGAACTTCATTTAGCAGTTTGTGATCCTGGCTACAAGCTGAAAAGTAGGCCAGAAACCTGTTTCCACTTTCGAGCGTTTGATTTTGCTCGCCCGCAGCCCTAAGCACGAAGCCCCCGGCCCGACCCGCGGCGCTACGCTGGTCCCGCACTGAGGCCGGGCGGGAGCGGGGCCGGCGGGAGCGGGCCGGGCCCTCCGCCGCTGGGGGCGCAGCCGCGGCGCGGGGCGGAAGGAGCGGCGGCTCCTCCCGTGGAGCCGGATCGATCCGGGCGGGTGCGGCCCATGGCGGGCGCGGCGGCGGGCCCCGGCGGGGTGAGGGCGCGGCGGGGCCGGGGCGGGAGGCGGGAAACGGGCCCGCGGAGCCCGGGCCGCCGGCTGCGGACCGGAGGCGGGAGCTTGTCCCGCCGGGCGCTGTGGTGAAGGGTGTCGCGGAGCCCGGTGGCAGCAGCTGCTGCCGGGAGGCGGAGAGGAAGCGGGACGCGAGAGCGGAGCGCCCCGGTAGCGCGGTCCTGCATCCCCGCTCCGCTGGGGAAGCGGAATGTCGCCGGATGCAGCGTGGCACGTTTCTGCCACCTCTGCTGGGGTGGCAAGCAAGCGTTTTCGTATTTTCATATGAATCTCTTAAAAGATAATCTGCAGAGCTTTAAATCTGTAAAGGATGGTTAAGTGTTTTTAAACACTGAGGGCTTTTAAACCCTTTCTGCTCTGCATCCTGGACTGGACACCAGCGGGATTGGGTAGCTCGGTTTTCCCGCCCTGAGTTTCCAGGTGTGCCCCAGCGTGTTGTGGCCTGGCTCACGTGTGCAAACACAGGGTTTGACTGAGGCAGCGCCTGCTGGTTTGAGAGAATCTGTTGCCTTCAGGGGCGCTATGGCCACCTTAGAGCATTCAGCAGCTCTTTGGCAGTAACAAAATGTCTCTGTCCCCAAACTCACGCTTGGAGTGGGTTACTTCAGACTCTGCGAACCGGCAAATAGACCAAAGCTGCTATCTGTATGGCAGAGTTGTCTGTCATACAGATGGAACAGATGAGTATTCACCACTGCCTGCTTGCTTGTGGTTCCCTTTGTTGCAAGGAATAAATGATAACAAATCAATTCACTTTTCAGTTGTTTTATAGAAAGTAATAAAGACATACTACTGCACATGTGGTGAATGCTGTATAGAAGGTTTGTGGGTTTGGTTGGTTGGTTTGCTTTTATGGATTTTTTAGCTTTTAGTTATTTAAAATATCAAGTAACCATTCAGTATTTCCTGCTACAGGAATGTTGGAAACAGTAAAAGTAATGAGCTCTGACCTTTACCAATATTTTTCTCATACAGCTGTATGGTGTGACCAGTATTGGGGGCCGCTTAGGGTGTGCAGTTCCCTACCTGTATAAATGGCACTTGCTGTCAGTCTGCATGGCCAAAATCCAAGTGAGAGATTTGAGGCCTAATCCCACAAACCCTTCCTTACACGAGGCGTCTCATTTGCTTTGGGTAAACAAACCAAAGTCAAACTTGTTTACAGGAACCTGGAGCAGCAAGTGGAGTTAACGAGTTTTTTAGTGCAAATAACATTTGGTACCACAGAACAAACTGCCCTTGTTTCAAACGGGAGTAGTGCTGGGTCCTAACCCAGGGCCAGGAGGGTTCATGTTCAGCTAATCCTGGCTGCCTGAAGTTTATTTTTAGTTCAGAATTAGCTGAGGTTCAATGTGAGCAGCGTTAGGGAGCATAGACCAGTTCACAGTGCCTCTTTCAGGGAGCAGCTTCAAATGATATGGGAAAGAAACAAGTGGTAAGTTTGAGTCTTACCAGTCTTACAGCCCTTTTTATTTCTGATATCAACTGAATTTTTTGAGCATGGGAAATACTTATTTGTGTATACTCTTTCAATATAATTGTGTAATACAAAACCTGAAAGTTAACTGCCTTTTTCTAGATGAGAGAAAGGTACAAGCTCAATTTCGGATTATTATCAGGAGATATTTTTAGATTTTAGTTGTGTTTGACCTGCTGGTAAATATGAAAATTAATAAAAATGAAAAATAGTATTTTATAATATTTAAAGGTATTTTCATAACTGAGCTTATTTCCTCTTATTGACTTTACTATTGTTTTGAATTTGCGCCTTCATTAATAGAAAACACTCTATCAGCTCACGCTGTATACTATACAAGTATATTGAATGCATACATTATTGCAGAATTCTGATATTAAAACAGATTGACTGACAAGCTTTCTAATGCAAGCAGTACCTTACATGAAAAGTGAAAATTATCCAAATGAAGTTGAAATGCAAGCTGTGCCTCACACACAGATGTTAGGTACATGTCCCTAATGCAGTGCCCATCAGAACTCTGGTAAAGACATATTATTCCAGCATCTTTTAGGTATTGCTTTTCTATGACATCTCCATCAGGAATGTCTAGCCATTTAGGGGGCATATGAAGCAAAACATACCTCGTGTGTTCTGACCACACCTGGAAACAGCTGTTTTCTGAGAGGTGGTTTTATGCTGATAGAAGTTGACTTTTGTCTCTCTCTTGTCTTTCAGTGCCCGCCTCGTGCCCTTCCTCCAGTGCCAAGGTAAAATCAGTGCATTCCGTGGAACTGATTGTGGTGCTGTACTGCAGTGATTTTAAAAGTAATGACATTAAGAGAAATAAGTTTATTAAACATATGAGCAGTCATAACAGTTTTTAAAATAATTGCTTCTCTTTCTAATTTTTGTCCCAGAACACTTTACAAGGAATGCAAAGCATTTTGAAGCTGAGACATTTTAGTCTATTACTTCAGTTTTAATACTGAGAGATAAATCCTTTAAAAAGTTTCAGATAGATATTACAGTTTTAATGTCTACTATAGTGGAACAGATGTATTTTTCAATCTCTTCTCACTTCCCTCTTTGTTTTGTTACATGTTCTTTTGTTTATTTGAATCACAGATCCTTCAGAACAGGAATTTCTGACATTGGACTAGATATTCTTGAATAGGGATATAGGTGTCTACTAATTCGAAGTAGCATAGGTAAAAAATTGGGCTTTTTTTTCAATGTGGAAGTAGAGTTTTTATGACACAGTACATTAGAATTCTTTCAAAGTACCTGAAAGTAAAGGTGATGTTTATGATTGATGACATACAGTGTCTTTTTAGTAATGTGTGGGCTCAAATGTTTTATAACTTTTGTTGGTTTGTTACATATCAGGCAGTAAGACAAGTTTTAATTAGCCAGGTGATTAAAGCTTTTAATCTGATCCCCAGCCAGCCAATCAAGAAACTGTGCCTAGTCACCAACAAAGTGTTGAGTCTTGATGATTGCTTCCTACCCTTAACCCTGTTGTAACAACTGCTCAGAAAGAGGAGTGGGGATAAGGGAAGGAATCACAGAAGCAACACCGTGAATTTCACTGCTGTGAATTGTAATTCATTCAAAATTAACTTTCTTCTCATCTTTGTTCCTTTTACACTGCATGCCAACACCTTTTCTCCTTAAATGTGAAGTGGAAGCCAAGGTGAGTTATTAAGGAGAATTATAAATATTGATAGTTCCTTTTGGTATCACACATTCTCTCTCTAAAGATAGAGCCTTATACTTTTCCTAGATCCAGGCTGATTGTTTAAACTGCATGGATACCTGTGCTGCCATTGCTAGAGCTGTAGTTTTCTTTGTTCTCTTTATTGTTTGCTGTTTCCATCAAGGTAAATGAAATGCTGCCACTGTGCTTTAAACAATAAGTTTCTTTTTCAGAGCATTATTGAGAGTATTTGACTTTTTCACCTAATACAGGTGCATGTGTGTGTTTAGCCTCTGCCACACATAAGACAGTTTTCCTTATCCTGTTTTCCTACCATCTTCTCTACTCCTCCTCCTTGTGTGAACTGGTGAATTATCATCTTACCTGTAAAATGTGAAGGATGTCATAATTTGTAAAAAAGAACCTATTTCTTAACTTGCAATAAAATGGCTGTTAAAAAAAGAAAATGGAGTTTTCTCCTTGCTGTGCACCCATACTTCTGTTTTATGTTATGCAGATGAAATTCCACTCAGTCGTCCCAAAAAAAGAAAACCCAAAGGAAAGACTCCATTAGGTAAGGTCCTACCAAGACTGAAAACTGTTCTTTTATTCCCGCTATTTTTTTCCTTTGTAAATTTTTTGCATGCTTCATTAAATAGTAATTTCCAGCTGTAAGATGCTTATCTTTAATGTGTTAAGAGCTTGAATTTTTGAATGAACTAAGATAAAACTCGTTTAACAATTTGGCTCAATTTGAGTCCTTGGCCAAATAAAGTCAAAAGTTAATCATTACATTATCATTGAAGAGTTAGTTAAGAGTGTAAAAGATGACTAGCATCAGAGCTTTGTATTTTTGCAAGAAGCAAATCTGCAGAACAAACATATTGTTTTAAGCAAGATTATGAGTGATCTGTTTTGATAATGTTAACAGAACTAGTGGATTTCTGTAACCAGTTGACTTGGGTCCATATAAAAGTTTGATGAGGAAACTGCTTTTATTTGCTTAAAAGTGTACAATGAGACCTCACTGAAGGACCTTTAAATGCAACAAGTAGAGGTGTTGCTATCAGGATTTTCCAAGGACTAAGTTTTGTTTACTGTTGTTTTCAGTGAGCTGAATGATGATGCAAAGTACACCTTGACTTTTGCTGTTACTTTGCTGGTTAATTTTGCTTTTTAGCACAGTAAAACTTTATAAAAGGTGGGTAAACCTGTGCTTGAAGTAGAAACAGATGGATTCAGTTATTATCATAAAAATGGCAGTCTTTGGAAGAGCTATAAAAAACCAGATGTGATGTAAAATGGAACAGTACCTTTCTGCTTCTGGTCATGTCTTTCTTCTTCTGATCGTGCAAATTGATGCTACTGGTGCTAGAATATTTGATGAATTCATATTAACCTCTCATGGAAATGTAGTTCCTCCAAAGTATAATAGCTCCTCTCTCACACTGGAGTAAACATCCTTTAATGTTGCTTTTCTGCTCCTCCCTTTATTCTTGTGGAGTATGTTTAGCATTTAAATTTTCCTTTGATTTGATGCTATTTTGCCTCAGCACATATCTGCGTGGATCACTTTGTAACAAACTGTTAATTTTTACTTGTCCCTTGCATTATAATCTTTGCACGTAGAAAGGAGAAATACAGAGGTATAGTTCTTTCCTGTGGTGGATTTCTTTCGGTCAGGCCTCTGCTGTATGCAGAGGATACTTAATTTCCTCCTAAGCAGGAAACTGTTAGGGTGAAAGGAGGGTTGTTAGCCGTCACCCTTGTATGTTCCTTCTTATGGCATTTGATTCCCAACTCTTTTCCTAGCCAGTGCATTTGCATCTCAGCTGTTGCTCAGCTGGGCAAATACAGGATTTGCCCAGCGTAGTAAAGGGAAGCTTTTTCTTGCCTGTTTCCCGCTGGCTCTGAGTTAAGGTTGCTGGATCTTTCCCTGTGGTTTCCAGATGGCATCGTGCACGCCGCGGTGCGGCGGCAGTCCGAGAGCAGCGAGCCCCTCACCCCCGAACACCAGGACGTCCCTCCGCAGAGGAAACGCAAGAAGAAGAAAGTCCCTACTGGTACGTGAAACGGGTGGAGGTTGGAAAGAGCACCGGATAAAACGTG